ACTTTTTGATTTACAACAAGATCCACGTCTTTTAGCTAAGATCGCGTGTTACAACGAAAACACAAATAAAAATATAACACAAAGATTACAATCTTTTCTCCTTTTTGTGTCGCAACTAATCGCGAGTCCCCTGTTTTGCGTTCCCCGCTCCGCTTGACGTGGGCTTCTCATTGGCCCTCGCGCCGGGGTTGTTAGCCCGTGGACCACCGCGAAAGATCTACGTCCGGATCGGCTCTTACGCCAGTACGGACGGGTATTATTCACAAGCGAATTAAGGAGCCGCGGCGAGGCATTGTTCACCAAGCCGGAACAATCGTCACCAGTCTCGCGCATCTAGGACCCAAGCTTACGATCCACCGGAGTACGGCTCACGCGTAGCTCTGCAGATCTGAATCCCTTCCTCTGAACACCCTGCTTATTGACCGTCTGCCACGATCGCCGAGCCACCACGTATCTGAAGGGTGAGTCCCCGAGTCCCAAAGTGCAATCCTTGTACGTCATCGAGCTCCCATCCAGCAGCCGGCCTTCGCACTCTCTCCAAAAATTTCCGAACCTCCCTCAGACATGAAGCACCTCAACTGGCGCCCTATTTATAGCGCTCTCAAGACTCGTGCCCAGCGCCACCAGACAAATGTCGGCCACTGTCGGCCCACTGTCGGCCACTCTGCGGTCGCCGGCACCTCGTCCGGCCACGTCGGCCACTTCTGGGTGGGCCGGCCACTGCTCGGCCACTGGTCGGCCAACCTCTGGTGCGGCACTGCGTCGAGCACTGTCGGCCCACTGTCCGGCCACCTCTGGGTGGGCCGCCACTGTCGGCACTGTCGGCCATTGTCCGGCCACTGTCGCCGATTGTGGCCAACTGCGGCCACTGATCGGCACCTGCTGGCGGCCGGGCACTGTCGCCGACTGTCGGCCACCTCCTGCGGTGGCCGCCTGCGCGAACGCCACCTACCTGGTGTTGGTATTTTTGCGTTTTTTCCCGCGTCTCTGATTCGCGTTTGATTTAGACTCTGCACCTCTTGAACCAGTAAGTCGCATTCCGCATTTCCGGCCAGTAAAGTCGGAATCATCCTCATTAGGCAGATAAATCTCGATTCCTGGAATTTCGCGCAAGTAAATCTGCCGATCCTGATTACGGCACGTAAATCTCCTATTCCTGATTGTCGGCAGTAAATCTGGCATCCTATTAGCCCAGTAATATCTGGATCCTGACATTAGGCCAGTAAATCTGGATTCCTGCATTTTGCATGTAAATCTGGATCACTGATGTGGCAGCTAAATCCGCATTCCTGTATTTGGCGAGAAATCTCATCTCCTGATTTGCCCAGTAAATCCTCGCTTCTGATTCGAGTACCGAAGCCGATCTCCCGCCCCCCCCCCCCCCCCCCTGTCTCGATCGTGATTCGTCCGTAGTTTCCCCTTCGTTGATGCACTCGTTGACTCTCGAACACTTGGTTCGATCGCCGCACGCGAATGGACGTATTTCGTTGCTTCTCGTACGCGACCTTCACGATCTCGTCGCCTCCGTTGGCTTTGTACGGTTTATGCCGAGCTCAGCTAAGGGAGCCTCGATACAGCCATTTTTATATGCTACACGATACCCACTCCAAAGATATTCAGTCTCGTTCTTTTTATCAGAAGAGTCTTGGCAATACGTTGGATGTGATGTGTCACACCTCCTCGAAGCTCGGGCTAACGGACCTCTGGAAGGCTTCTGTTCTTGACTTCCTTCAATCCCTGTGCAGGCTATTCCGGCCTGCTTCTGTCGAATGTCTGCTAGGGTCGTGTGCTGCATTTACTTGTTTCTGACGCTTCTGTCCGAAATTTCGAACTTGAAGTCCAGTTCCCTGCAATTTTCGGATCTTTCAGCTCGTTAGGAATTGCATCGAGTGGCTGGGTCGAGTTTTTAAATGATGAACGCCGTTTGTCCGGCGTTGATGTTGTTGAGTTATCTCCTTAAGAATATTTTTTTAGAAAATACGCTCACAGAACTTCTTCAACCACACAACTCAGCCCCCCGCGAACAGTCTATATATCATGATACCCTTATTGCCAGCTAAGAACCCAGTTCTATACTCACGCTATACTTTTTCGGAATTCATTTAAGAAGCGCACAGTTCTTACTCGGCTCGCCTCGTTGGTTTGTCGGTTTATGCCGAGCTGAGCTAAGGGACCTATAAGCAATTTTATATGCCTACACGAGTGACTCAAGTGTGCAGGTGAGTGTAGCGACATCATGGATTCGATTGGTCGCTCACACTATGGACGGCCACTTGATGGGTTCAGAGTACTGTGCTCCTCCTCTTCATGTCGTGGGAGATGGGAAAGCCCATCCCTGTATATGATGTTGTGGCCGCCAGGTACTCAGGCAAGTCTGGCAAATTTACCAATCGTAGGTGAATTCAGCTTTTGAGTAAACTTAACTCGTGTGGGCGAGTCAAGTGTACAAGCGAGTTTCTAATCACCTGGTGGATTACTAGATGCATAGGTGAATTTGGTGATCGTTTGGTCTTGGTTTGTGCTAACGATTCAAGCACACGGGTGAGCCTAATTTTCAAGTCGTGCGGGCGACTCAAATACACAGGCGGATTTCAGGCTCATCTACAACAGTAATTTTTACCACCTACAAGTCCCCCTTCAAAGTTTTTAGATCTAAACCAACTTGCGTGTGATCAAGAATACTTTGAATAAAGAGGTTCCTAATGAGTTAAGGCGAATTTGACTCCCTTGGCTAGGTCGAGACCTTTGGGCGAATTCGAGCGGTGCGAGTGCACCCAGGTGAGATTGGTGCCATTCGAGTTGGGCTCCCCCCCTTTTTCTAGACAAAATTCGGGCCCAAGTGAGCAAGCCACGTGTCTGTGGGGGAAGTTCCTATGCTTGTTAATTAAGACGACGCCTCGTCTTCGCGCGCTCACCTCAATGGGGCGGATCCGAGAATGTTTTTGATCTCAACCGTTGATCCGACAAGAGGTCATGTGTGAGTCACCCAATCTTGGCCATTCCGTGTGGTGTTCCAAATGTTTTTCTTTGTTTGTGCCCGCTCGATTGGAACCGCCGAATCGAAACTGTCTGCTTCAAGTGGTCAGTGAATCTTAACGGTCGAGATCCTGCATATATACTGTTGATTCATCTCCTTTGTAGGAGGATCACTACACTCGCAAATCCTTTCATTCGAACCTCCTTAGAG